AAAAGAAATGATTTTAAATCGCTGTTTATGTTTCTCCCCACAAAAAAAAAACTTAAAATGGAAATGTTTTTGTCAAACTATACATCAATCACTTCACGTAATTCAAAGGTGGTTATGTTTTTTATATTTACATATCATGCTGCTTAACGTGTTGATTGAGAAGGTCATTGTTGAATTTTCGACTAAAATCATCCATATATATATATATATATATATATATATATATATATGATGCATTTATTCAGATCAAGAGTAATAAAGTTTGTGACTCGTGTCATCGGATATACAGGTAGTGAATAAAAGCTAAGATTACTATGTAATGAGTTTTGACTGAAACTACTAACAGCTAGGGAATACAAACAAGGCATCAGTTCATAAAATGTTTGACTATTGATTTGAGCCGTGTAGGATAACGCGAACGTCTTGGTTAAGCTTTGTATAACTGCCGAAACCTGTGATTTGAGACTCTAAATGATGTAAACTAGAATCGATCTCACTGGTTTAGATGTATACATATAATATATTCATCCTAGTCTTTATATCACATTTCATTGATATATGACCGTTCGTCCTCTCTTCTTATAACTTTCTTCAAATTTTGACTGCATTTTTCTCGTGTTTCTGCATTCCTCTGCCTTGCTTTTCTTAATATACTGATGCAAGGAATAACAATGTTAATTAATATGTAGTTTTGTCAGGTCCCGTTTTGAGAATAACTGATTGACTAATATGCATTGAAGGCTAAAATGTAAAACCATGTCATACCTAGTGATTAAGCCAGCCAACGCCAAATAGTATGAAGCATTTCTTTTGAGTTGAAAGTGGTTCGTTTCGGTTACTGATATATTCAAGGATTTCAGGTGGAAAAAAATCAAAGGTTTTCTTCACTGAAATACGTTTATATGATTTCAAGAGTACCTCACTAATGCACACAAATTTGTTGTTGACTGCTAATCAGCATAGTTCCCAAGTTATGAGTACTGACTATTGATTAATTCTGAGTAATATGACATAATGCTGGGTTAAACTTGGAGCTATGACTCATCGGTTTATGGAAATGTCTTTCAACCAGTGGCTCATTGGTTCAAGTCCCGCTCCACCTTCCGAGGTTCGGGCAGCCAAGTGGTCACTAGCCCTCACACAACAGCTGTGGCTCATCGCCTGCGCTTGTAATGATATTGAACATTTCAAGTTGATTATCTGGAAGCTTTGAATGTAAATTCTATTTTTGTTGGTTAACAAACTTTGATTCTCCGTTAAGACGTCTTAAACTGAATCACACTGGAGTATATATATCCGTTGCTTCAATAGCTTCAAGCACAAGCTCCAAATACATAAATGAAATTAGTTGGGTGAGGTCAGTTAGGCTGCTGAAACTAAAAACGGGGCCTAATGACGATTCTGCGCGATGACTAGGAGCGAAATGAAAATTTAGGCCATGGAGGGATTCGCACCAGCGAGTACCGAGTTTTCGATCCGGTGCTCTATCAACTAAGCTAGGAGACCCGATTGTTGATCAGATTTTTATTTCACTTCAATCCCAAAGGGTTTTACCCGACTACCCTGGGAATTGGTGACGCGTTACTATCGAATGATTGTATTCACACCGACTGCCCAGTCAGGATCTCTCATCCTGATAGAAATCCGTCTGAATTAGGGCTAAAGAGTATCCTATTAATTATCAGTTTCACTATCTGAGATAGCCATGGTTCAGTAAACGTGAGTTAATAATACTGGGTAATGATTAAAGGTGAGGTGAAAACTTGAGCTACACAGTTGAGCCTCGTAGCTCAGTTGGTAGAGCACCTGACCGGAAATCCAGTGGTCACTGGATGGAATCCTGGTGCAATTACACACAAATATAAAATTGAATTTAACTTTCTTCAAAGTCAATTTTGTAGGGTCGGAAAAGAGATTGATAACCGAATCTTGTATCCTTTTTACAAACGACGGGAGAGAATTGGAATAAAATAATCTATATCTCAAGGCTGTTATGAGTACAGATAATAAATTCTATCAGAAAAGTTATCCAGTATCTAACACTGTTCCACCGTGTGATGCATTTCATCAAGAAAGTAAGATGAATTTGCAATCTGTTACACTGTATTAATTTTACGCCTACGAGTGAAAACAAATTTTTTTCTCCTGTTGACCCACTCTCTCGTTATCTTCTTCTTTGTGAACTTGCTATGTAACATTTTGTCAGCCAATTACTTATCTCTTAATCTTTTTGTTTCAGAAACTGGAAATGATCATGTTACAATTACAAACAAACAATGTTTTCGTGATTATTTTATGTTTTCATGTCACAAAAATAAATCCGAATTGTTAAATTTTAGTATGAATAGTGATAGAAAGCACTTCTTGTGGTTAATTTAGTAACATAAGACTTACTGGTGCACTGAACAGGTGATGAATCTAATTCTTTGATTCAATCTTTTTTCTACTATTATAGATGTTAATTAGTTCAGCCGTAAGTTTCAATCACACAGTGTCTACCTTGAGACACGATGGTAGCTGACTTAGTTAGTAGACGGTAAAATAGCTACTGATGGCCATTCAATAAAATTGTTGCCTCTGTATTGAAAAAATAGTCGAAATGCCCGCACAGTAGTCGATAAGTGGCATCTTGTGCAGTGGCCTGCGATACTGCCTGGCTGCCCAGACCTCGGTAGGGTGGGGTAGAGTCAAGTGCGTAGACAAGTGAGGTACAGCTCCATAGTCTATGACTTTGAGCTACGTAAACAGGTCTAGACTTTTTGTTTAACTTTATTTCGCTTATAAAAGGGCTAATTGAGGGAAATTATGCAAGATGGTGGTTATACAGAACATAACCGTGTTAGGTTGTCAACATCATTATTCATAATGGTAAACTATGCAGATTGGTGTTATATAGTGCGAGTCAGTCAACAGGTAATCCTGGTTGACACAGCCTTCAACCTTGCTGGAATTCATTAGGATGGCATATCTGCAACCATGAGGAGACGGGTTTTTTCGCTGATTCAAACCCGCTTCACTCAGTACTAAAGTCAAATACTCAACTGCTAAAGCTATTCATACCACTACAGACGCCCTGTAAAACCGGATCAAGTGCAAGAATCGGTCACCAGTAGGGTAGCCGATTTAACTGTATGTTTCTTAGTGCCTAGCCTTGGAATATATATATATATATATATATATATATATATATATATTTCATCTTTTCTCGTGTTGAGCTGATAGACAGATAGACAAAAAGACAAAGTTAATGTAGAACCTTGCACAAAAGTGCATCACCTCAAGTTGCCACACCTCACAGAAGTACACAAAGAACAGGTGGGATGATATCGAAGTAGACAAAGTTGTGTAAGAGAATAAACAATCTGAAGATAAAGATTTGGGCAAATATTTGGGCTTTAGAAGTAAAGGAGTGAATATATCCTCAGCATTATGATCGATTTTCTGTCATATTGCCAAAAAATCCCAACCACTGATTCATTTTATCTCGGGGAACCCAACTAGCTAGCCTACATCTCCGCACACGAATTAGACTGACAGTAAGAGACTCCATGAGTTAGTGCCTCGTCTTGGTCTCATCACGCTGAACTCTTTTCCAACTTAATCCAGCTTTCCGTAGCATAGCACTTCGAGGTAGGCTAGGCTACCTCAGCTGATGAAGATTCATAGCCCCATCAATGGATTTGCTTATCTTGGTTAGTGCCCTTCGCCTGACCTCAGCATTGCTCACATAAAGGTTCTACCAAACTCAAGCGATGCTGTTAAGATACCTTTGAAGCGGTTTTAGCTCAAGTAAGTGTCGGGTATATACGGAAAATGATGTCACAATGGTATGACCGCATTATATCTGCTAAATAAGAGATAGTTTGTCGTAAGAGAGAACAAAGATTAGTAAGCAGCCAGTTAGTTTCTATACATGTGTATTTAGCTTTATTTTTCTAAGATTGTAGTTCATTGGCTGAAGCATTTGCTTTTCTATCAGTAAATCATGAGTTTGAGAGCTGTTACATTAAACACAATGCCTCATAATACGGAAGTGTTTTACGGTCTGGTATGTAAATCTCTGAGTAACCATTGAGTTTCTCCACATTCCTTAATTTTATGGCACTCTGTCAGTGTATAACACTGTTTCATACTTCATATAGTTAGGTGTTTTTCCTACACTTGACAGCTAACACGAACAAGTAGCACTAACCAGAAGAAAATACTCTTTTCCTAGGCTAATGTTGCAAGTGACATATCTTTAGGATTTCCTCAAGATATGTCACTATCTATAGCTCATACCTATCGCTGGATTTGACATATATGCCAACTGCAGTAATGAATACGATACAAATTAAGATTCCTTGAAAGCGAGATTTTTCTATACAGCAGTCTACAGTTCTATACTTTTCCTCCTTCAGATACAACGAAAAAAGTTCTCTTAAAATATTGATGATGAAAGCCTATAATTGGTGACGAGTTTACTAAACGTAGATTTAGTAAAGTTAACTTATCCACTACTCCGTTATAAAAGTTGACGGACTGAATCAGCTGTTATATCAGAGCTTGCGGATCGTGCATTAGTGCTACTGGTGTTCGGTAATAAATGCACATATTTGTGTTAGTTAGATGCAGGTAATCGTCAAAAAACCTTGTTTGACCTGGGTTTCTGGCTTTTTGGCAGAGGTCAGCCAGGCGTCTCTGTAACCTCGAAGGACGTGGTATCCCGTCTGAGACTTGAACCCACTTCAACTAGTGCTGCACTCAGAGAAAATACCAATGAGATATTTGATTTGCAAATGACAACTCCTGTAGAACTGGATTAGGCATATTGATTGGTTACCTTCCAGTGACCAATGTTACTTACATATTTGTATTCCACCCGTCTACAACTAAACAGCTGTTTACATTTTTTTTTTGTTATTCATATTGGTGGTCATATTTGAGTTTATAGTTATACTGTTTCTAGTTCATTTTATTCTTTCATCTTTCTTTTGATTTCCTTTATAAAACCATATTAGTTGTCATCATATACTGGTGTATTCGTCTACGTCATTTTTACTTGAGTCAAAGACACACAAAAATGTATGATGCAGATATGATTCAACCAAGTCAAAATAATATTAACCATAGCAGTGGAATACATTTTCCAAGCGTACTCCAACCACCACCACCACAACAACAACAACAATCAAATCTCTATCAATCTAGAAGTTTGAGTAAATCAATGCTTATGGGACAGGCGATTGATCCATCAAATGGACAACGTCGATCATATTATCCTAATCTTAATCAAGGTGGATATTTCAATACCTGTATCATAGAAGATCCATTGAAACAATCTGCTGCAACAGATAGTAAAGTAAATGGCGTAGTCAATCTGAGTTCTGTAGATCGAAAAAGTGTATCAAAATTTTCGCAATGTTTACAATCGCCTAGTAAGTATTACTGTTAAATCTTAAAGAAATGATACTATTTGCATTCCAATTGTGGTATATTTACATAAATCACGTGTTTCCAAACCATGTGTATAGAAACAGTTCAACAGGTAATTGTAGTGCTTGAGAACAATATCAATGGTAATTAGCTATTGGTCAGTGAATTTTTGTCCTAATCTCTTTCACGAAGCTGTGATTTCCGAAAGTCTATCTCTCTATCCGTTGTGATACTCATGCGCACACATAATAAACTGAAGTAAAATGAATTTGAAGACGATCAAGTTTACGCTTAGACCTGAAGCTCTTGAGGTTCAAATGCATGAAGTGTTTTAAGTTCAACGTAAACATTTTCAATTATGTGAATTGTGAAGGGAAGAATTGCCACTGTTATAGATTTTTGGGTATATACAGATATTAGCAGTTGAACTGTTTAAAATCTAAATGCATCGATGGACTGGGTTTCTTTTCGTAGTCTTCAGTAGCAATAGACAACATGCTGGAGAAGCGTACTGAAACTTTGTGTCTTTCATTGGTTGAAGGATCGAAGCGAGACAATGTCATTCCAGCCTAATGCGTGAACTTCATTACAGTGACGTCATTCCCCAGCGACTGGAACCATTAAACCAGTGTTCCTGTGCATCACTATGGTTTTTAATAACCTTATAAAACCATGTAAAACTTAAAGTAATCTAGTTTTGCCTAGTCTAAAACCATTTTCCCTATCTTAGAGATGTATTTACTTTAGTTAACTGTAATAATTTGATTCTACGCTAAGATGATTTTTAGTCGTCAATTAAAAGCAATTTAGGTTTGAAATTGAAGAGAATGATTGTGTGGAGTAGAAATTTACTTCATACGATGTATTGTTGACCGACACTTCAGTAGTCAGTTTTCAAAGGTAGTCAAGTAAAATGCGAAGACATGTAGAGCTTTGGACATAATGTTGCGTTAATGGATTGCATAATCCTGAGACAACAAAATAAGACAATCGATAACGATAAAACGGATTTCAAAGCGAATAAAAAAGTACACAAGTGAAGTTGTAAGGGCAAACTGGAGAGGAATAAAGTGTTCAAGATTTAGCAGGAGAATAGTGTCATTTCGTTTGGGCCATTGTGTTTGTCTTTGATTTCTATTAAATAGGCTTACTAATTGCCGCTACCTATCATCTGGTGAAACTCGACCTGGTAGCTTGTACCTTGTATATGATGCAAAGAAGCGTTTCTCCTCTCGATAATTATCAGAATCTTCATTCTACTTCTGCTCTGGCGGTTATCTACCTTTGTTACAGATGATCTCTTTAATTGTGCAACTTAACCAACTTCATGTTGTCTAATCCTGAGTACATACCGAATACTGTCGATCATTTTGCAATGTGGCCACCAGACTTGGAGGCTCAGCATCATGGTACACTGGAATAGATGACAGTTGGTTGAAGGCAATCGACAAGAAGCCCTGAACATACGTTTCGTGCTTGTTAGCACTCGTCAGTTAGGCACTTTTGAAACCTCGAATGAAGTGATGTCTCCTGTGAGATTCGAACCGGCGTCAACCACTCGACGTTACCACTAAGCTATTCGGTCTGTAGTTGACCTCCTGTAGGGCTGAATCATATGCATCAACTGATCACTGGAGAGTAACCAACGTCGTTTTGTCTAGTCCTGTTTATTTACTAATCCATCTTTCTAAATAAAAAGTCTAAGTTTAACCTAAGCGTTTCTTACTGCTTTCACTAAAGACGAGGAGCGGGGGATATAAACCTACGACAGAATATTCGAATTCATTATTGTCATCGAAATCTGCCTATTGTTGCGTTAACTTCATTTTGGATGGTACTAAATAAAAAAGTAATCTCTTCTAACACCAGTCAGACCAGCAGCGTTTAGTAACATAGTTTTACCATATTTCCCTCAATGTAGTGACCCTAGAACGTATTTACCTCTTTTATTCCCATCAACTCTAAAAGTGGTGTTTTTTGGGGATTATAAATACATATCAACCTTAATCTAACAAATCTCATCACCTAAGTTACCTTTACCACTTCAAATTGTATTCCAATCGTTTTCCTGAGTTTTTACCGTAAGTTCTCATGAACAAGGATTTTGATTTCAGTTTAGGTGTCATTTTCAGTTCATCAGTGGAGGTGATTGAGTTTGGCTTGGGATTCATGGGTGTTGTTAACGGCACTTACCAATGTGTCAGATACTGACGAATTTCCTTGACTGACATTCTTCATCTTGATTTTTTATGTGCAGAAGTTATATTTGTTGAACCCCTATTCACTTAATCCAAGAGCATATATTGTTATATATACACTAACAAAATCCAGGGTCTTCTGAACACGTTGGACAGAAACCTGAGTATGTTTAGCATGCTCTTCATACCTGCTTAGTTTAAGATGATGCTCCAGGAATGGTATGCAACCACCTCCAGTTTAATGGTAGAAAGTGAAGTCGACCACTTCAATTACTTAGGGAGTTGCATCAGCTCGAACAAGCTGATTGCTGACGAAATCTCAGCTCGGATACAGAAGGCACGTTTAGCATTCGCAAACTTGCGTGATGTGTGGCACCAACTGGCGACATATCCGACTAACAATCAAAGGACAAGTATACTGCACCGAAGTCTATTCTGTCCTCTCATACCGCTGTGCGACCCTGCCATGAAAGCAGAAGATATGAAGTGATTAAAGGGTTTCCGTCTCTGATGCGTTCGTAGCACTGCTCGCATTTGGTGGAACCACCATGTGAGCAATATTGAGGTAAGGCAAAGGGTATTAGGCAAGATATACAAGCCTTTTGATGAGTTTGTGAACCTTAATCAGAAGAGATGGCTTGGACAGGTGTTTTGCATGCTATTCTACTATCTATCTTGACATGCCATACCAGAAAAAGTTGGATCAAGTTGAGAGAGGGTTTAGGATGACTAGACCGAGACGTGGTACCAGTCCATAAAGTTCTTGAGTGTTGGTTTAAGTCATCTTGGGAGATACAGACTACCTAGCTGGGTTCCCCGAGATGAAAGGAACCAGTGGTTGAGGTTTCTTGGCGATGTGACTGTCAGTCGATATTGCTCCTTTCTATCCGCCTTTTGTTTGCATACTACTGTGAAGCGTGGTAACTTGAGGTGATGCCCTTGTGTGCGTGGTTCTACGTTGAATTTTTCAGCCAGTCAGGAGCTTAGAAAGTGACTGATTTCGGGAACTCTATGCATAAAATATTGGTCTTAGAAAGCAGTAAAACTATTGAAACATTTAAATGCTGAACTACAAACATTTGCCACTTTAGGCAAAAATGTGCATTCTAAGTAAAAAAAAGTACACACTACATAATACAGTGTGCACTCTTACAGAGTTCCATGTCAGAACGAAAGAGCTGCTCAGTGCTCCCGAGTTTTCACTGGCACCAGTGCGTGATGAATTCTATTTTGAAATCAATAAATCTCCATAAACATCCAAAAATTTATAACATACACCAACGTAATTTGTACCTGGAAAAATTATGTCAACGCATTGAAGTGAACATTCCTCGTTAATCAACAATATCCGTAGTGCATGTGTTGGGTCTCGCAGCTCAGTTGCTAAAATACCATGCAGTAAACCTGGAAGATACCGTTTCAAATCCTGCAGCAAGCCATTCCCAATCACCACCCACTATCAATTATCCAAGTCTGTTTAACCATGGCTATCTCAAATAGTCAAACTAATAATCCCTAAAAATCAGTTAGACCATGCATTTAACTAGGGTAAATTTGTGATCAAAGACAATGACATGTTAAATATTTTTGTCTGAAATGATTCCAACCTGCAATGGTGTTATTTGTTCAAGAATACCACAATAGCAACTTTTTCAATCATTTCGTAGCCATAGTGTCATACAAAGAGCGACTATCGTGACTCAATAGCCTAGTAAATTAGGTCCTGACTACTGAGGTGACAAATTTTTGGTGATGCTGTGTCCTCTGAGGTGGATAGTTTAATCGTGAGGCTTTCATTGACATTTCCAGATAATATCGTCCACACAGTCGTTAGGATGAAATGAACTATGCGATTTTCTTCACAAGTGTCCGGATGGCCTTGTGTATGATTGGTTGTTTCTGCTAAAATCACGTCATTGTCTGCACACATATTTCCATTGGCTCTTCTGTTGATGTGAAAAGTGTTGGCTCTGGGTTTTAGTAAGAACATAACTTATTGTAAGACAGAGATATCCAGAATACACTGAAAGGCGTGTCCTAGATTACATTATTGACTACTATCCATTATTAATATCTGTTCAAATACATCATTAATTTTAAACGGAGTTAACAACAAGTTTCATGGATGAGTACTTTTTATTCGTTGATTTCGTTAGATCATATACAGCATTTCCTACTTTGTGATGATTATCACGACTGAGTTTCTGATTCCACAAGGATATTTCTGAAACAAAGACTTGCTTAGGAGAAAACCAGTTTCTGAAGATTCCTTTTCTAAGTTTTTACACCACAGAACACTTATTTCAAAGTAATGTCCTTCGAGGTTAATGGAGATTTTAACTTTCAAGTGGTATTCAGCACGGAGTGATATGAGTTGGAGAACCGTTGAAAACCTAGAAGTACTGGGCAGCTTTTTCGTCCTATCATGAGACTCTTCAGCGGTACGCCTTGACGGTCCAAATAGGGATCGAACTCAGGATCTTTAGGTTTCAGAATGCATTACCGTATGGTGCTGATTAATGATATGCTTCCAGATGGACATCTCGAAGTTCTAATGATAAAATGTGACCTGTGACGTCAACCAGTTGGAAGGGAAGCAGATGCCAACTGAAAACCTTCGGTGATACTCACGCTATTTCACGAATTGACAGAAGTTGGAAACTGTGAACAACTTTTACGCTGACTTAGTACTTGAATGGTTGATGCGTTCGCCATGAGACCGGAGTATGCCCCCTTAGGGGGGCTGCGAAAATATTAAAACAAACGGAGAGAGAAGACTATAAATACAGGCATGGTAAATATAT